TACTAATGATATTGTTCTTGTTAGTTGACTGTTTAGATTTTCTTTTTTTCTTTTTCTTATTAATGTAAAAATGATAAATATTTTTTTTTTGTTAACTATAGTTATTTGAAAGATATTAAAACAAATAGAATCTTATTTTTCATTTCAGATTGAACACATAGAATGGAAGATATTATTATTTCACTTGAACCAGCATTTCATCGTGTTGAACGTTTTATTTTATGGAAAAATCGATATGCAAGTTTACTTGCATTTCTTATTGGTCATTGTATTTTTTATGGTATAGCACGAGCTGGTTTACGTCCATTTTGTGCTATAACTCTTGTTATATTAATATTTCATATACTTGATAGTTTAAAACAAAAACGATCACATCTAGCAGATGATGATAAAAATTTATGTGAATTAACTCAACTTGTTATACGTTCATATCGTCATGCATGTCAAACACATGAAAAATTAAATACATTGAAAACAGAAAATCGTGTTAAATATTCAATTATTATTATTGTTATTTGTCTTGCACTTGCATTTATTGGCGTTAAAATAAATGGTTTTTATGTATCGTATATAACTATGTTAATACTTTTTACATTACCAGCTGTTGTTTATCATAAATTAATACCTAAATTACTTCGACGCTTAGCACCTGTACTTGAACAACTTGATCAATCGATGTAAATTTTAGAAAAAAACAATTTATATATATACTATTTTTCTTTTATATAGGGAATATAAACGACGTTCATTAATTGATCGAAAAGATCTATTAGTTAAAATCGATCGATCTGGATTGAATAATGATGACGATGATGATGATGTTCGACGATTAAAACAACAACGTGACATATTACAACAAGAATTATTACCAACAAAACAACGTCAACCATTAAGTTTAACTGATGATGATGAAGTAGAAGATGAACAAAAATTAATTGATACAAATGATCAAAGTCAAACAATATTAAACTTTCGACATCGATATCAAAATGAAGCTGTTGTACCAAAACAAACAACTATGGGTGAATCAAGTTTTGATATGCTTAGTGATTCATCATCATCATCAGTTGTTGATGATGAAACAACTCGTATAAGTGAATTATATGCGAATGTTGGCGATCGAATTGATGGTAAACATCGTATTAAAGTTAAAAATGATGAATTAAAAATTAAAGGACGTTCAAGTAAACAACGACCAAAATTAATGGATGCACAATATTTTCAATCGAATAATGATAAATCATCTCCACCAACATTAATCAATACATCAATGATTAATTCAAATAATGAACCAGATTTAACAAGCTTTGATTTTCTTAATGATTATGATGAAAAAGCATAATCGAATGTATTTATGTGTGTGTCTGTTCTTTTTTTTAATTCAGAGCAATACTATTTCTTTTCTTTTATCTATGGTGATTGCACTTTATTAATTATGTAAAGAGTGTTTAAATACGACGTTTTCTTTATCTTTACTATTTTATATCCCTTTCGATTGTGTATATAGAGAACGATGAACTTTATCAAGATGATGTATCTTATATCATGTTTTTATGTGCCTATTCTTTTTCTTTTTCTTTTCTTTTATACACTGTCATCCGTTTATTTGATGTGTGCGTTTGTTGTTCGTTTCAGTGAACAGTTTGTGTTTTGAAAAATAAAAAAAAGCAAAACAAAAATGAATCAAATGAATTGTATTAATTATTATTTCCTAAAAATATATCATTGAATCAGTTCGATTTTCTTTAAATTGAAATGAGTGTGAGTGTGAGTGTGGATAAATAAAAGATGAATCCACACCCGTTCACACTCCCAAGATCATAATAAATGGTAAGTAATCTATATGAGAAATAGTCAATTAAATGAGGAGAATATAAAAAACTCATAACTTCCGATATTAACAAACTATTATTAGACAGTAAGTAGTCAATTTTAAGGAATAAGTATCAACTGATAACCACTATAATCCAGATTTGACCCAAGTTACCAAAGAGAAGTATCAGATGGTTGAAATTATCTACATAATAATAGATAAAATGAAGTTGAAATGATATGAAAAGACATTCTTCAACATTAGAATCCATTTAGTATATGCAGAAGATCATTACACCAAAATAAATGATTCCAATTATGAGCAATATTATTGTATTGTTTATCTTTTGGATGGAATATATTTAAAAACTGTTAGACGAACCTTAATGGTATGGATATGGATGTGAATATGAAAATACTAATATTCTTGGACCCACACACATCTATAACCACTCACTTATACTTTCAATTTAAACAGATAATTGATCATTTTTATACATAAACAGAATCCATCTACAACAATTTAAACAATAAAGGATCAAAGAATGAAAAAATCTTTCTACTGATAAACTAAAGATTTTCAATTATTGAGCACTTCAGGAAACGTTTAACTGTGAATACTTCATGATATGATTTTTCATAACTGTCTATTTATATTCGAATTTTTTTCTTTTTCTTTTATAAATATCAATGGTTTTATTTGTATTTAGTATTATTATACAAAACAATAAGAGTAAACTAACACTTTTAGTAAGCACTGAAAAAAGAACATTAGGTGCTTCCTTTACTTCGATCATTCGAACATCTCAACAAACAGTGAGTATATAAACTTTTAACAGCAATCTTCTCTATCGTACTTAAGACCACCTTAAGGGTGTGGATGTTTCTCTTTTATCCGTTATCCTTGTCCACATTCTCAGGATTAGAGTGAAATATCTGATGAAGAAGAAGTTTTGTTTGATTTCAGTGTTATTTTTCGAATAGAAACTGTTAGTCAAGATCATGAACAATATCCACCGATTTGGATAGTGAAGTTGAAGATAAACAATGAATGACAAATATCCTTAATGATTTCATACAACAATCTCGAGAAGAAATAGAAGAGAAAAATTTCTCGAATTCTCTTTGGTGCTCTATTAAACAAAAATGGGCCAATACGACTAATCTGTATATTATTTTGCATGATCTACTTAAACATCCTTTTGAAAATATAAACGTAACATGGAATCAGTTTCATTTGATTAATATTTATGATAACAGTGATGACTATAGTACTGCTCTTGGGTTTTTTAAAAATGCTGCAAAATCGAACTGATGACGCTACACTGAAAGAATTAACTTACTTTGAACTGGACTAAAGTATTGTATTGAATCATTGGAATATAGTTGAAAAGCATTTCAAAGTTTAGAAAAATATTATGGATCTTCATTGAATCATCATTATATTGCTAGTTGTTTATTTACCATTATTCAAAACTATTTTGATCTATCAGAATTTGGCCTATACAAAGGGATTCTTAACCTAAGTCCTCAATATGCAGAGCGTATATTAAGTATATAAAAAGCATGGTTACCACTGGATCATCCTCACATCGCTTCACATTCTTAAATTTTTACTGGGATCACGATAGAGACTTAGACCAAATATTAAACTTTTATTAATACCGGAACTACAAACTGTACTTAAGTGTCCCATACTTTTTATTAAAATATGACATAAATTAGATAAATCAAAACAGAACTCCAAATCGATCTCCAGAAGATCGACATTCGTTGACTAAAATGATAAAGAAATTAATTTTTTTAACAATATCTTTATGTTCGATTCGAATAATTTTCATATGATGTTCTCTTTCGACTGAAATCAATTTCGAGATTAGAGTAAACTTACTCGAGTTCCAACTAAAAAAATTCTGATCTCGTACATTTCTACTCATAATATAGATAGAATCGTAAAATGATTCGTACGTTTATGCCTTTCATCTCGATCTATATTCATTTTATTGAATTCTCAGTCTGTAGCAGCATAATAAGAAAAAAAATCACAATGAGGAATATTTATCTGAAATTTCATCCAGGAATAGATCTCATGATTTTTATAATGATCTGATAGTTTCAACTCAAACAACCATTCATCTGCATCCATCATACACTCACTCTTACTTATTCGATCAGGGTTTGATTTATTTGTATCTATTTGCTATTGATAAAATTTATTTTTCACTGATCGAAATTCTATTTTTTACTAATCAAAGTTGAAATTTTTGTAGGTATTTATATTTAATAAACTGATTACTTTACTGACTATTCATTGATGATTCCAATACTGAGTGTATGCATACCTTTTTACTAATCGTGTACATCTATTGTATAGATCATTTAAATGGTAGTTATGAAAATATCTGACATTTATCTTCATATTTACTTTGTCTTTAAAAGAATGCGTATTCAGTTTCACTAATGACAATATGTTTTTTTATTGACATCTACTATTCAAATTGTATTTTATTCAGTTAATATTAATTTTACGAGAACATTCATTATTAAATAATTTCATTACAACATTAAAATTTATAATTCAGTGAAAAAATCAAAATATAGTTCTGTAGATTTTGATCAATATAGTTCAGTACTATTAAGAGTAAAGGAACCATCAACTAGGCCAGGAGCTATCATATGAAAACCATTGTTTCCACCAGTAACTAATACTTTTCCATTTCCTAATATGGATGCTGTATGATAATATCGTGCGACACTCATGCTTCCTGTAGTTATCCAATTACCTGTTGCTGAATCATATAATTCAGCACTATTGAAATTATTACTAATGCTATATCCACCAGTAACTAATACTTTTCCATTTTCTAATACGGTTGCTGTATGATAAACTCGTGCGATATTCATGCTTCCTGCAGTTGTCCAATTACTAGTTGTTGGATCATATAATTCGGTACTATTGAGAATACTACTATCACCATACCCGCCAGTAACTAATATTTGCCCATTCTCTAATATGGATGCTGTATGATAATATCGTGCGACATTCATGCTTCCTGTAGTTATCCAATTACCTGTTGCTGAATCATATAATTCAGAGCTAATGAGAACACTGTCATCGTTAAATCCACCAGTAACTAATACTTTTCCATTTCCTAATATGGATGCTGTGTGATATTGTCGTGCATTATTCATGTTTCCTGTAATTGTCCAACTGCCTGTTGTTGGATCATATATTTCAGCACTATTGAGATAAGTACTACCATTATATCCACCGGTAACTAATACATTTTCATTTCCTAATATGGATGCTGTGTGATAAACTCGTGCAACATTCATGCTTCTTGTAGTTGTCCAACTACTTGTTGTTAGATCATATAATTCGGTACTATTGAGAATACTACTATCACCATACCCACCAGTAACTAATATTTGCCCATTCTCTAATATGGATGCTGTATGATAATATCGTGCGACATTCATGCTTCCTGTAGTTATCCAATTACTTGTTTTTGGATCATATAATTCAGAACTATTGAGATTACCGCCATTAGATCCACCAGTAACTAATACTTTTCTATTTCCTAATATGGATGCTGTATGAAATAGTCGTGCAACATTCATGCTTCCTGTGACTACCCATTCTAAATGAAGCAGACAAGTGAGAAAAAAATATTATTTTTCTACGAATTTTGAATCAGTTATATACAGAAGTTGTGCATCCGTTGGTCATAAACTAAATAATCTCGGGACTTCAATAAAGTTTTCTATGGATAGGATAAGATCCATGTCGAAACTTTAAATCAATTTAAAACAAATAAGAAGGTTATAAGTTTTTGAGTTTTATTGAATTAATGGAAAATATGTCTCCAAGCCGACTAATAATCATGTTTTTTGGTATATGTGTTCTCAAACTCAAAACGAAAAAACAATGTGTTTTCGTCAAAAATCTAAATTCTAATAGTGCTCTTGCTCTAAGATTATGTAAACACATATTCAATCTTTGAAAATATATAACATCTCTTGATTGGATAGTTTCTTCAACATCTTAAAACTCGATAATACAGAATGAATCAAAAAATTATTACTGTCACCCATCGATGATTAAAATATAAATTATGATCTAGCTATTATTGTCGTTCTCAAGATGATAGTTCAGTTGTATCTATTATTGAGTAGATTTTTAGTTTATCCTATGACATAAACTTAAATTATATGAATGTTTCTCATAATATAGCGGATCGCACAAAAGTTTTGCATTAATTTTGTTTTTGCTATAATGTTGCGATGGAATGTGATAGTGACTTGAACTTTTTTTGTTAGTGAGAGCAGATGATACCGATACTGTTCTTATAAAAAATTGGGTTCCTGCGACGAAAGTTATATAGATCAAATTACCTATAGATATGTATTACTGTTTTTATATAATATATCCTAGTGTCTAAACTAACAATATGTCCAAAGACGGGCGGACCCAGATGAATGTCGGATCGGACAACGGAAGCATTCTTTGTCAAATTCGATACTCGTTTAGTCCAACTCCAGAGCGGACATAATTTTAGTTTAGACGCTAACATATATATTCTCTGTATATTTTTATAAAAGTATGCAAACTTCTACTAGGATCTATCAGAGCCTACGATGGTCTACACGGTTTATCAGAGTCTATCATGGTATATTACCGTCTACTATGGCCTAGTCATTATCTTCAGTCAGGAAACACTATAAAGTGTTTTGTGGGACCCGTAATGGAGAATTTGCGTTGTGTTTCTACCCTCGCTCTCAGCTGTGAGGACGCCCTCAGGTGTGTTTCCATATTTATGCTCATCTGACCATTTGATCCAATGTGGATCAGATTGGGCCATTAAAAATAGACCCAATTTTGTAGCTTCATAGAAACTGTTCTCTAACACTAATTATCTAAATAAAGAAAATTCGACAGATATAACCAAAACTTCTGAACGTAGTCATTTGAAATATGCATTGCTTAGGCAACTACATATTAATTCGCATATTACGGACCTGCCACTGCTATTGTAGTTGTTGATGACGTTGTTGATGTTGACGTTGATGATGTTGATATAGCTGCTGGTGATGTAGACGTGGCCTGATCTATATTGAAAGAATGGGATTAAATTCGCTTACTATTATTTTCACGCAAAGTATAAGTCATTGTAGAACAAAGCTATGATATAATTGTAGTATTTACAATAAACTTACTATATTTCATTGATATTATTGATTGATTAATAAATATCAAAGAAGAATTAAGATTGAACTGAATTAAAATCGAACTAATATTTGAATAAAATAATTGGCAAGTTTGGTTTATTGAAAAATAATTTAATGCAAATATTATTTCATTCGATTTTATCATTTCGCATATACACTGATTTTGGGTTATATTCCATAATGATTTATATCCGTTACCAATTATTGTATTATTCTCTATTTTACCAATAAGAGTACAATTACCAGGAGAAAGTATCAATATAAACAAAAATATCCAAAACATGTTTCACTACCTTACACTTTAAAGTTTTTTCTAAGATTGTTTGAATAACTTGCGTTATTGTTTTCTTTTTTCTTCTTTCTTTTTTCTCAGCTCTCTAGTTTAATATTTTATCATCACAAAGAATAAGTGCTGTATATTGTTTGTTAAAGATTTCACGAACAACGTTCATTCATGACGATACTATATGCAAAACGAGTCGGACTACAATAGAAAAATTTACTTGGCTAAGAATGAAGTAAATATGACTTTAGTTGATACAGCCGTTGTCATAGAATTGAAAGTAAAATTATCGAATGAAAAAGAAAAAAGAAGTAGTATTTTGATTAAATTGCATCTCGAGTTTTTTTCAGACATTATGGAAAAAAGAACGCAAGAAAAAAAACCTTTTACGAATTAGCAAATTACTTCACTTGTATGTTCAGTAAACACATTTGCAGTATCTGTAGATCATTACAGAAATTGGAATACTTTTTCTACTTATTTCTTGTTAAGTTTTGCTCTAAGAACTCAGTAAATAAATAGTTAAATACAAAGGATTGTAAAGTATGAAAATCGAATTTTTATTTTACATTACAAAGCAGAATATCAAATAGGTAACTTATAAATAAATATAGAGTGTTTCACAAGTTTTGAGACGTGATAAAATTCGTTCATATAGATACACAAAGGAATGTCTAACTATGATTTTTCTATATCAGTTTCGTGTACAGTAACAGTTTCTCAAACTATATATTATTAAACAACATTGTCACTTATAGTAATAATAATAAATAATTCAAAATCGATGATTATAGTGCAGGATGCATTAAAATATTCGAAACATTTTTGTTTTTGTATTTCTGCACATACCTCACAGCTTTTGAAAAGATGTGCCATGAAAAACTTTCAAAAATATGTGTGAACAAACAAATACTCACTTGTTCTAGTGTCCTACCTTGTGTTCAAAATGAATAAGTTACGTGATAGTGTTACCTTTTATCATATCGAATACAATACGATGTTTTTATGGTTCATCATTTACCTACGCTAGAGTTATAACGGGTCAGGAAATATTGAGCTGATCCGGTACTGCTGTGGTTCTTAAAGCTGATGGATTCAGACATTCATACCCACACCCTACTTGATAATTTCAGAAGTTGCAAAAATTCAATTGTCAAAAATAAATATAAACAGAAGCCTTCAAATTGTATCCTAAAGATAGATGATACTCTTTTTATCGATCATGTATCTCTTCTTAAGAATCAATGAGGTATACTGAAAAGCTTACTATTTTTCTGAAAACAATCTTATGAATGGGAAGAAATGTATCTCTCTAGATAGGTACCGTTTCTCATTTAATGTGAATACTATCCAATCATCATGATACCACCACGAAGTCCGATACACACGTTTAATCCTTAATATCCATAGATATTATAACGTACAGTTATATTATTGTGGATTTGTTCGTTTGTTTCTGAATGAAGAATAAAGAAACAGCAATCAAGAAGTTCTTTGTCCAAGTTTTTTCCCTTTCTACTCGTGTAGAAGACGGTCGAATTATCCTATTTTGAACATGAGAGAACACTTGTTCACTTTTAGAATAAATACATTTTTGCTGACTGAAAACTCATTTTTTATTTAGAGCTTATATGATATATAAAAAATAAATGTGAACAGATTTATGTAAAATGAACTTTTGTGAAATAACTTTTACAATAGTAAAAAATGTAATTCAAAAAGTCGTTGGCCTCTATATTGAAGACAATAAGTAACAAGTTAATAATATTCTTATTATTGAAACTTAAGTTCTTCATAATTGTTTGTTAATATTGCAAACTAAAAATATTTTAATATAATAAGAAAGTTAACTACCAGGTTAGAAAAAAAAAATTATGTCTGTATTACGGCTTGTCCAAGCGTAACGCTGTTACGTTTTTGACACATTCTTGTTCAATTATCTCGGAAAGTGTAATAGCTAGAACGTTCGTTCAAACGCCATTCGATGCAGCTTATCGAACTCTACTTATTCTATAAAAACGATATTTTTTTGTTGAAGCCTCGGATATCTGTAAGGGTTACATTGTCGCGTAACACTGTTACATAAAAAGACCCTTATTCTTCAGTACCACCAAGAAAACTCTAATTTCTTGCGATATATTTTGTTCAAAAGAAATGCTCTTAGAACTACATTTGTAGAGCTTTAAACGAGCTTTCTAAAACCAAAAAAAATTTCCTT